TACACGGGGACCCCTCGCCTGGTGCTGGGGCAGGATGGGGGGCTGGGTACACGGGGACCCCTCGCCTGGTGCTGGGGCAGGATGGGGGGCTGGGTACACGGGGACCCCTCGCCCCGCGCTGGGGCAGGATGGAGGGGCTGGGTACACGGGGACCCCTTGCCCAGCGCTGGGGCAGGATGGGGGGGGGCTGGGTACACGGGGACCCCTCGCCCCACACTGGGGCAGGATGGGGGGCTGGTTACACGGGGACCCCTCGCCCCGCGCTGGGGCAGGATGGGGGGGCTAGTTACACGGGGACCCTTCACCTGGTGCTGGGGCAGGATGGGGGGGCTGGGTACATGGGGACCCTTTGCCCGGCGGGGGGCTGGGTACACGGGGACCCCTCGCCTGGCGCTGGGGCAGGATGGGGGGCTGGGTACACACGGGACCCCTCGCCCGGCGCTGGGGCAGGATGGGGGGCTGGGTACACGGGGACCCCTCGCCCGGCGCTGGTGCAGGATGGGGGGTTGTTCAGACCCTGCTCCCCCCCCTTACCTGGCAGTGGGGCCCGCGGGGCCATCTGGCCCGGCCATTGCTGCCCGGGCGCCTGGTGCATGAGGGGCTGGCCAGGGAGCTGCAGCGGCTGCTGCCCCATAGCCTGCCCCATGGCCTGATGGGGCAGCAGCCCCTGGGACGCCTGCTGCAGGTGGTGCAAAGGCTGCTGGGACTGTGGGACTCCGGGCTGGGGCTGTGAACAAACCAGAGAGGGGTTGTTAGGGGGGAGCTGAGACACCCCCCCACACTCGCTCTGCTGCATGGGCGCCCCTCCCCGAACCCCTCCCTGTACGGGAGCCTCAAGCCCCCCCCCACACACACACAGCGGGAAGGGGAAGGGGGACCTGGCTCCCAAGGCGGGATGCCGGCAGTCTCGGGGGGCTCTGCGGGGGGGGGGCGCTGCCAGGGAGGAGGGGGGTGCTGGGGGGGGGCTGTCGAGGGGGGGCGTGCGAGGGGGTTACTCACCGGCTGCTGGCTGAGCAGAAGGCTGCGGAGCTGGGGGTTGGCGCCGGGGTTCTGGGGTCGCAGCAGGGCCCCCCCCTGCGTGGCCTGCGGCCCGGCCTGGGGGGGCCAGGGGCCGGGGGGGCGTGGGGGCAGCTGGGGCCGCCTGTTGCTGCTGCTGCGTGGCTGCCGCTTGCTGCTGCGCCCGGAGCTGCAACTGAGAGCGGGGGGGAGGGGTCAGCCAATTCCCAGCCCCCCCAGAAGCGCCGAGTCCTCCCCCCTCCTGCCACACACTAGGGCTGAGACACCCCCCCGCCCTCACCCTGGGTCCCACCCACGGGGAGATCCCCCAGCAGGGGGGTGCTACAGAGAGGGACCCCCCCCCACCCCCGCAGAAACTCACCAGACTTTGCTGCCGCTGCTGGTCGTCCATGATGGGCACCGGGGCCATGGCGGGGCTCACCTGCTGGCCGGCCATCTGGGGGGGATGGGACAGGTGAGAACGGCAGTGGGGGGGCTGCACCCCCAAACCCTACCAGGGCTCTGGCTGTCAGCAGGCAGGACCCTCCTGCCCCCCCGACCACCCCCATCACGATCAGCCACCCCCCCTAATGCCCAGCGCCCCCCTAGCCCGGCACACTGCCCCCCCCCGGGCCCCAGACAGCGCCCCCCTAGCCCGGCACACTGCCCCCCTGGGCCCCAGACAGTGCCCCCCTAGCCCGGCACACTGCCCCCCCTGGGCCCCAGACAGCGCCCCCCTAGCCCGGCACACTGCCCCCCTGGGCCCCAGACAGCGCCCCCCTAGCCTGGCACACTGCCCCCCTGGGCCCCAGACA